AAATATAAGACGTCCAAATTAGCAAGGAAGAAGTCAAACTTTCACTCTTCACAGATGACATGATACTCTACGTGGAAAACCCAAAGACTCCACCAAAAAATTGCTAGACTGATAACATGAATTCAGCAAATTCACAGGATGTAAAATCAACATACAGAAATCTGTGGCATTTCTATACACCAAGAATGAAGCACCAGAAAGAGTGATCAAGGAATCGATTCCATTTACAATTGCACCAAAACCATAAGATACTTAGGAATAAACCTCACCAAAAAGGTAAAAGATCTGTACTCTGGAAACCACAGTATGTAATTTTTTAAACAAATGGTGGTAGGACAGTTGGATATTTATATGCAAGAAAGTGAATATTTACCTTACTTGGCGCTGTTCACAAAAATTAACTCCTAGAGCACAATAGACCTAAAGGTTAGAGCTAAGACTACTATTAAGAAAATGAAAAGACCAGGCATAGAATGGAAGGAAATATTTATGAAACAAATATCTGATAAAGGACTTGTGTCTGGAGTATATAAAGCGCTTTTAAACTTAGTAAGACAACAAACCAGTTTTTGAAATGTGTAAAAAACGAAACTTACATGACTCAGCAACTCTACTTCTAGATATTTATCCAAGAGAAATGAAAATATATGTCCATACAAAGTATTATATGTGAATGATCACAGCATGATTATTTATCAAAGCCCAAACTGGAGACAATTCAAATATTTATTATCTGGTGAATAGATAGGTAGTAGAGCTATACAGTGGAGTTCTGCTCAGCAATAAAATGAGCCAACGACTGATCCATGTAGCAAGGGTGAACCTCCAAAACATTATGCTAGTGAAAGAAGATAGAAACCAAAGACTACTTATGGTATAATTGTTTATATGGAATTTCTAGAAGAGGCAAACTATAGAGATAGAAAGCAAGACCAATGGGTGCTTAAGGGTGGGAGCTGTGATTGCCTGAATATGGGCAAAAAGGATGAAGGGCATGTTGGGGATGGTGCAGTGGAGGCACTTTAAAAGGATTGTGGTAGGGCATCTGGGTGGCCAGTGGGTTAAACGTCCCACTCTTGGTTTTGGCTCAGGTCATGACCTTGCGATTTTGGGAATTTAAGCCCCATGTGGGGCTCTGTGCTGGCAGCAGAAGCCTGCTTGGATTCTCTCGCTTTCTCCCCCTCTTTCTGCCCCTCCCCCACTTGCACCATCTCTCTTTCAAAATAAATAAACTTAAAAAAATTTTTTTAACTGCATTGTGGTGATGGTAGCACAACTGTATAAGCTTACTAAGACTCAATAAACTATATCATAAAATGAGTAATTTTATGGTATATAAACTATACCCCAATAAATCTGTTTAAATAATTCTCCATAGCACTTGGTTTATGAGATAACTACCCAGTTTTTGCTCCCCTCTCCCCAAGAAGATGTCATAGCTCCTTGTCCCTTCAGTAGTATTTCTCAAGCTTTAAGGTACATGAGAATCACCTGGGGG